AAAAAAAAAAAAAAAAAAAAAAAAAAATTTATTAAGAAACATTTAATATTTAAATGAAAAAAAAATTTCAACTATATATTATACGAGTTTTATTTATACGATAATTTTATTTTACATTTAATATTTTATTTATTTTTATTGTTGATCTGTATATATATATATATATATATATATATATATAGATTATAGAATTAATTAATATTTGTGAAAGATATCCATAAATAGAAAATGGTTCATTTTCTTACCTTTTGATGAATTGATGTATTCCAGTAATTGAGAAACCATTGGTAAACTAATCATATGGATTCCAGCATTATGAGAACAAAAATACCTGCGAATAAATCTTGTTCAATTACGGAATATTTGTGTATGTATTTTTTTTTGTATTCTAAGAATAAATAATTAATCCAGAGAAAGATGATGAAAAAAAAGAAAAAAAAGATAGTTTACTTTATAGGTTTAAAAATATTTTCTCGATATTCAATATTAAATAATAAGTGTTTGATATATTTTATTTGAATTATTTGGTAAATGACAATTATTAATAAATTTTACAACAAGAAAGAAGTGTTAGATATTCGATAGATGAAAATAAAAAGAAGAAAGAATCGATGATGGGATGTATATGAATATATATTTTCATTTCACTAAATTGTTCAATCGTAAAAATTTACCTTGACCTATTACCCTTGTCAGCGCGAATATGTATCGGACAATTATATTTTTCATCTTCATCCGCGAAAAAAAGACCTAATTCTATTTCGACGCATTCATATACGTATAAAGCCTCTTCTGGTGTGTAAAGATTATACGTAGAATCATATTGTGACCAAGACTGAAACTCACAGTTATCCATTAAATACAATCAATTACATACAATATCATAATTAAATACAATATCAATTAATTTCGAATCTTATTTGTTTTTTTAATATTTACATTTAGCATTAATATTTATACATTTCTGCAAGAAGATTACTTTTCATTTTATAAATAATAAAATTATAAATAAATTTTTGTCATTAAATTTATATTTATTTTGTTATTTTTCAATCACATTCACTATCTTTTATGCATCATTATTGATCGTGATATATTTTCGATAAATCTTAATATATTTATGTTTAATAATATTTATTTATTAAAGATTACACGTATAAACATGTAATTTAAATATTTTTATAATAAGTTATTTTAAACTAAAGTATTTTCTCAATATCTAGATCGATGTGATATAGAGTCATTATATATTTATATTTCAAACATACTCACTTTTCTATCGTTATCATCATCGATCAATTCATCTTTCAACAAAATCGCGTGATAAATCTTTCCAGTACACGTGGCAATAATTACTATCGGAGGGGTAGTTTGTAAACACATTATGGAACAGGAATCTATTCCGTAATTGTCGTCGACTGGAGGATATATAGAAAGTGATTCTGATACCACCGGGTTTTCATGACTTGATAAAATAAAAATAAGCATTATAAATATTTTAAATGATACGATTATATCATTTTAAAAAAATTTTGATTAATTGATTAAAATAAATTCTTTTTTCACAATACCATAATATCCAATTTTATTAATTTGTAGGGAACGATAAAAAAACATAAAAGGACATACGTATCGTGCAATATGTTGCCACGAACAATGCGTACTTCTCCATTTCCACGTAGAACAAGAATGGGCCATTCAATTTGATTCCAATCGACAACGTTATCCTATAGATAATTTTTAGTCGAATTTCACGATTGGTAATGTATAGGAATATTTCATATTTTTATATATACCTTATTGATATCTTTACCGATGAACATTTCAGGTTTACAGAGGGTAGGTGTAGCGAAATCAAAATCCACCGCTGTATCGCCTAAAGAGGTGAAATCTGGTATTTTGGATGGTGAACCGAACGGTACACGGCCAACTTTCCAACTTCTTATTAGCCTTGGCTTGTTACCCAGTTCGCATTCATATAAGCTAAGAAAAAATTAAAATTATATATCATTCAGATGTTTTCTACTTTTAGATATCTCAATCTAACGACAGAAATTTTGTATTAATTGCGTTAGATGAAACTTTTATCGCGTTAAATCAAAATTTAAATAACATTTTGATAACGTCAAAAAATATTGAAAATATGAAAGTTGTCGATTACATACGAAAAAAAAGAAGAATAAAAATAAAAATAAGAAGAAGACGAAGAAGAAAAAGAAGATAAAATTATATAAAAATTATTGAATAATAATATTTTTTAATTTACCGAAATGTATTTTCGGATGTTAAAATTAACAAATGAGAGTCATTCGTAGAGCCTGGATGCCATCTTGCTTTTCGAATATCTATCGTTTCATTGTAAACCCTGAAAAATGGAAAAGGATAAAGATGCTTATTAACATACGTATAAATATGAATCTTTTATCGTCTCATCGTTTAATATTATTTATTTATTCTAGTACGACTTACATTATTATATATTATTATACATTATATATTAAAATATTGTTATGAGTTACAAATTTTTAAAATTTGATATCGTGATAAAAATCGTAGAGATAATATTCGTGTTATTAAATACGAAGATACGTGTCCGATAATTGCGAATGAACGTTTATATCAAATGATCGATTTATCCAAATTTTCACGCGAAGGGTAATGTTCTTTATAACTATCAATTGTTTGCAACGTAAAAAAATCTAATTTTATTTATATAAAATATTTCTTAAGAATTATTAATCTCGAAAAAATCCTTTCGTGATCGGGGCAATAAAATTTTATCCATCACGGAACATGCAAACGCCATAATTACTTACATCATCCTATATCCAATGAGAGATATACGCTATTCATAAATAATATCATCGAATGATTATGATATATATATATATATATATATATATAATAATAATAAAACGATAATCTTGACATCTCATTCGTCATATCGTGACGGTTACAAACATTATGAAAGAGAAAAGCGACAGATATCGGAAATTAAATATTTAATCAATTACAAAAACTCTTTTGTTCAACCATTTTTGAAGGAGAAACAAAAAGAGATTAAAAAATTAAAAAGAATATGGCAAATGAAGTATAAGGAGATTTATTCGTTAGAAAAATCGCCTTCATCATGTTATATAAAGATCTTATGTTCTCAAACTTATATTAATTCTGATTGCTGATGAAATGAACGAAAAAAAAAAAAAAAAAANAAAAAAAAAAAAAAGGAAACGAATGACGCAACAACATTTAATATCAAATATAGCGATACGATAGATCATAGTTCATACAATAAAACTTCACAGATTTATATTGGAAAAAATCGAAAATTGGAAGAAATCATTCAAGTCTAGGAGATAAAGATTAAAATATCAAAGCATAAAAAAAATATTTTTTTTCTTTAATTTTCCCATCTTTATATATCTCGTTCGTTCGTCCGAGAACATCCGTTCTTTGGACATGTCCTCGTTAAAATTTAAATAAATGGGAGAGAATATTTCGTCCAATCCAGAAAAGTTTATGAATTTTCGTGGACGTCTCCTAGTATCCTAATCGTTGATGTCCTATATATATGTCAAATATATATACTTGATATATATGATTAAATTGATAGAATTCGATGAATTTTCTTAAAAAAAAAAAAAAAAAAAAAAAAATCGTTTAGTTCTTAAAGTGACAATTATTCCTTTGACGGATAAAAAGCTTTTAATTTCGCGTTTAATATATTCGCGTCGACAACTAAAGGATGATTTTTTTTCACGAGGAAAATTATTTATATCGAAGATACGCGTAATTGGAAGAGAGCGAACAAAGTGTCGAAAGCAACGTTAACATCTGTTGTCCCGTTGCTTAGTTTTTCAGACGTGTCGTTATTTAACGCAAATTACCCTAATCTTTCACGATCGTCGTACCCTCGGCGCGTAACGAAGGAATACACCAAAGCATCACGATGTTTGTTTTTCACAGGGACGAGCCGGCGGGATGCGGCGACGATGGTCGCCTACATTTCGTATATTTTATTATTACTCTCGCACTTTCCGTGGCTGGACACGGTAACGCTGGTAAAAGGGGTTGACGGTGGTTAGCCGTGGCCGTTATTAATGTCCACGGCACAGCGTTGGCAAGGGGTTGGGGAGGGAGGGAGAGGCAAGAAAAAGAGAGAATCAGGCAGAAAAAGCGGGAGAAAGGGGTTTGACGCAAATGGAGAACGAGGAGGGGAAGAGGATGAGGAGGGTTGAAAAAAAAAAAAAAAAGAAGAAAGAAAAAAATCGATGGGCATAGGGTATCGTCGGCAACGACTGGTTACACTGGATATACTAACGACAAGGACGAAAGCAACTTTACCATCACCCAACGTTACCCAACGCCCCGTTGCAAAAGCACGCCAGGATTCTTAATAATTGATAAAAATGTACGCACGCACGTACCGATAGGGAGGAGAGAAAGAGAGAGAGAGAGAGAGAGAGAGAGAGAGAGAGAGAGAGAGAGAGAGAGAAAGGGAGGGAGAGAGAGTCGGTCGAAAACCAGACGACGTGGTCAACCCCAGCGCCTCGGCTCACTCCCTCCCCTCTGTTCCTCCCATCCCTTCCGTTCGCGTCGCATCCCTCTCTCGTTCGTTTTCCCTCTACCAAGTCGCTTTTCTCTGTTCACCTTTTGTGCGCCCAACCTTTCATGCTTCGTTGACAAAGGCACACGCAACGATTTATTCGCACTTTGCACCGCAGCCTCGCGGGGATTTTTCTTCGTTCTGTCACAATTTTGGTATTATCAAAATTTATGGTCACCCCTACGCGAACCACTGGACCATACGTGTTCCCTATCCCCCATCAACCACGACCATCACCAACCGGTTTACGCGTTTCTAAATACCGAAATTTCATCGTGATCTTTCGTCGTCCAGTTTTTCTAGTCGTCCCCATTTTTTTTTTCCCCCCCTCTTTTCCCCAGAATTTGTAACCAAGTAGCAGTAGCAAGACGAGCGTTCTTTTCGAAACGGATTTTGAAACGTTCGATTAGGAAATTGAAAATTGAAAATTATCGTATCGTATCGAATATACGAACGATAGAGAATCGATAATATACGATGAGTTATAAAAGAAGAAATGGATGATGGAAAGATAATAAAAAGAACCGATAATAAAAATGTATGGAAAGATAAGAGGATTAGGAAAAGAAATTGTTATTGAACGATAAGAGAATAAATATATAAGAGAGAAACGGATAATTGAAAGATGGATGGATGGATGGATAAAAAATGAGGTTGGATCCGAATCGAGGCGTGAAACAGGGATCGTTGGATAATCGAAGGACAATTTAGATTATTAGATATCGAATAGCGTTCCGAGCGTGAAATCTGGAAGATGATATTCTCAGGTATGTTGTTTCATTACAGTCTCAATTAGAAATCTGACAGGGTCCATTATCTCAAAGGAGAAAAATGTCTAATAATGCTCGAATTTTTCGACGCGAAGCACGCGAAAGAGGCGGTATACGCGCGGCGGTGTGAGCCATCACGGAAAGAAAAGAAAGAGAGGCACGGGCAGCTGCTCGAATCTAATTAAGAAATTCTTACACGGCGGTGCCGCGCATTCTGCCACACCCTTGCTCGCGTCCGCGTACTTGTACGTTTCTCTCGTCGGAGCCGGTCTAGAAAAAATTAAAAATAATTTTTCCTACATAAACGTATTAACCTCGGGCGGAGCGGAGCTTTTTACGCCGCGCTTTCCTTCCAATTTGTACAAAGAATGGCGCGGACCTGACTTCAAAGCGGATCTTACGCGATGTCGTATCATTTTGTTCTAGAAACTTTTCCGTCCTTCTAGCATTTCCCTTCGTGTTGCCCGCTTAAGTTACCTGCGCGCTTCCGTCGCGGCTTTTCACCGACCCCGCTTAATCCTCCCGTCTTCTCCCCGATAATTTACCCAGCTTGTTTGTTCACTTGCTCGCTTTTCTTCCACCTCGCTGCGTTCAATTGTCTTCGAATTTGCTCCATCTAAAATCTTACCGTTGACAGTTTTCCCCTCCTCTCCCATTCTCGCATCTGCTCGAAACCATTTTTTCTCTCTCTCATATTTCTATTTGAATTTTTTCGAGAAAGAAAGCGAAATCTTCTCTTTGATTCTTTCTCGGGAGGAGGGGAGAATTTTTTCGCGAAATTGCGGCAAAACGATTCGATTAACAGGGAAGCGCGACGAATCGGATGTGAAAATCGGAAATGAAACGTAATCAAAGTTTCAGCCGAGTAGGATATCAATTCGACCATGATTAAGACCGGAAGAGAAATCCGGTCGCGCGTATGAGCATTAATGGCTTTATAATCTGATGAATTTTTAGGTTAAGCGACCGGTGGGAGAGAGATTCGGATAGATTTTTTTTCTCGCCGAGATTTATCGCCGAGAAGGAAAACGGGAGAGTTCGCTACTACTTATCTTTCGTTCGTCGCGTTATCCACCGAAATACATTTTCATTCTTCGTTCCGATCGAAACGAAGTAAACGATTATGAGTAAAATTTCATTATAAATTGAGATAAAATTGAGCAAAATTTTGCGATGTAAGCCATCAAAATTTTTTATAATTGTTCAACTCGACTCAATTGTTGAGAAAAGCAGAAAAAATTCTACGTTTAGTACGTAAGAAATTGTACGATGGTGTGATTATACGCTTTTGGTTAATCGATTTATCACGTATCTATGTAAATGGGATGAAATAAGATCAAGTAGACACGAATGGAAAAAATACGCTTCGTATCGTTTTTCCATTGTCGAATCAAATACTCGTACACTCGACACTTTTGTTCGATCGTGAAAAGAAAAGGAAAAAAAAAAAAAAATAAAGTTATTTTGTATAGACATAGACATAAATAGAAAGTAGCAGATACTTACTTAATCGACATGAATATTCGGTAAGAAAGTGGAGTACTTAATTCCGCTCGGTGGTCCCGTAACGACGTAATATCGTTCGGTTACTCGGAATATTTTTATTACGTTCCCGCGGTGGCATGCCACGTAACGGAGGGTGGTTAGGGGAGCGACGACAACAGGGTAGTCGAGGAGGCGGTACGGTTTACCAGGCTTAGGAAGCTATGCTCACGATATAACGAGAGTCATTATGATAAGCGGATGCATAGATTAGACATAACTCGTTAACCCCGCTGTGTACGACGTTTACGCGATGAAAGACGAGGTATCGGTAATCAACGATGCTTCCGTCTCTCGGCGAACGAAGCGCCTCTTCATCTTCTCTCTCTCTCTCTCTTTCTCTCTCTCGTTCGACAAACTGTTTAAAAATTCGCAAAAATTTCGATCGTGAAAATTATCGTTACGTACGTATCGTTACGATGCAGATGTTTTCTTATCTCATTTTCA